AGCAGCTGTAAATTGTAAGAGAGCAAGAGTTAGTTCTATAGAGTTGGTTAAGTCATTAACTATAGGCAATGATCTAAAGACATCCACAAGTGGACCTCAAGACCTACTGCAAAGCAAAACGTGAGATTGGGCATGGTGTAAACTGCTGCATAATCTGCTGTCCACCTGCCAGGGATTACACGTGAGGCACATGCAGAGGGTGTACCCAAGGTCTCAGCACTTCTTATGATAATCCTGCTAATAGCACAGATATAAGTAACTCCTGATGAGTATAGCTCATAGAAAAATATACTGGTATTACTGATATGTTGTTGGGCATGATCTGAGCAGGCAGAATTGAAACTGTACTGGAAATTAAATCTTGACATTCCGTTTTTAAATTTTTAAGTTCTGCTGAACTTAACACTGCATATTACCTACAAACTCATTAATATGAGGTACAACACGACAACAAAAGCAAAACATTTGCTGTTAATTATAGCACTGGCAACAGAAGCAGCAATATTTAGAGATCCCAACCAGGAGCAGCAAGAGTGATAGTTCTTTGCTTAGACTACATCTTTTTTGGCCAAGCAGCAGTTTGGCTAGGAGTATTATTTTAGTCACCAGAAAAGGATTACTGATTAACTCAGAGGGACAGTGAAAATGATGGAGATGTAGAACCGAATCAAAACTGTTCCCAAAGAAGTACTTTAACCAGCTAGCACAGCTGCTACACACTTCCAGATGTCCTGAGGACACCAGAAGTTTTCAGGGTGCAACAGCCACAGTTTTCCAAGAAAGAAAACTTATGCTGCAGAGACGCTTAACGTGTTGTGCAAGCATCTCTTCAGGTAATTTATGTCAAAACATAAGTTAACCTTAACTAATGAAAATAAACTAGTGTTAGCGGTATGTACTAATTACTGTCACAGCTACTTAGCATTTCAAAGCTTTCTCTGAGTTTCATACCAAATTTATAATGTAATATAACATACAGTAAAGCATTGATACTAAAAAATGCTTACAATGTTGTATCCATCACTTCTATTTTTTTCCCCCTCGTGTTTGAAAGCATGTAAACCACACGTTGAAAGAGTATATTTATTACCATCAAGTATATAATCATAAATGAAACACGAAGTTAATTCTGAACATTCTCTAAGACAAAAGTTACTATTACTGTAATTAGTATTGTGAGTCACTTTTGTGTATGACATTAAGAGACTCTAAAATGGGAAGTTCAAGCACATGAAACCCTAGGGTTTGACGTAGCACTTATATCTTCACATAGTTCAATGATTTCTGGGAGAAATTCATAGGAGTAAATTTACTATAACGAAGGGTGAAGTGAAGGGTAGATAAATTGAGAGTCCAATAAAATATCACAGAGAACTAACTGAAGAGCTTGAAATAGAGCTTAAAAAATAACACAGAGTTTTGACCACATTCAGGTGGAAAATGTTTTTTTCAGCCTCTACAGCTCCTTTTCTCCTGAACTTCCAACAGGAAAGTACCTATTTTTCAAGGATGAAAACCGTTTTACAATTGAAGCAAGTTTGGAAATGCACCTAGATTATAATGACTTTAGCATAAGTAAAACCAGAAAAAGAAACCCTAATTTATTTTCTAACCATACTAAAAAATATAATTAAAGTTCAAAAATTGTTGAAAAAAGTTTCTTTGCAAGGTTTTCTCATAAGCTGTAACCCAAGCCCCATCTTTTTGTATTCAGATGCCTCATATCAGAATTCATCTCCACAAATCCCCCCCCCAAAAAAAAACCCTCAACGATAACAAAGCAATATTAAAGAGATTATTTCAAAGAAACATTAAAACAAGTCAAGCAACATCAGCTCAACAGTTTCAGTGAGACTACACAATGAACGAGGAGCTAAATATGAAATGCTAATTTACTTGCCAAAATCATTCTAATGAAAGCCTTTCGAGCATGAAACTAACTAAAAGCAGAGTTCTTATCTATTAGAAACCGCTAAGCATTTTCATTCATACAACATGAATGCGACAATCCAAAATGCTACCACACAGTTAAAAACACAAGTACTGTGGAAGATAAAATGCCCTTTTATTCTCAAGGCACCTATGATACGATAAGCCACTGCGGTAATCCTGCTAAACAACAGGCTGCAAAATGCTGCCACACAGGACACCAGGTTTGCCTCCCTGCTTCCTCCATTTGAAACACTCTGGAGCTAAGCCAACATCCTCCTGATCCCTCCTTGCTATCCTCATAGCCTTTCTCTTGTATCCTGCCCCAACCATCATCTCATCTCTCTCTATCCAGAAGGATTTGCTGACCATCAAGCAAAAGGCCGCTCTGCAGAGAAGCAGCCCAGATTAAAACAGAGGTTCCACCTCCCAACAGACTTTAACAAATCCCTTTCAATTAGCAATTCTGCACCTCTCCTTCCCAACAGCAACAACGAAAAATTAAGTGCTTCATAATTTGAACTCAGGCACCAAAAGTGGAACACAACAGACACCCCAATTAAATGGGGCCTTTTATGCTAAATGAAGAAAGAGAGGAGGAAGAAGAAACGGAGCTCTGAATTTCCACATCACAGCAACTTTCAGTTTACAGCAGTTAATTCACCACAGATACAAAATATGCATCAAAATTTGAGGTTTAATTGCTTGCCTCAAAGCTTCAGCTGCCAGACTAAAACCCTTCTTTTTTTGAACGTTTTTAACTTTTAACCTTCTCTAGTCAACCTTCCAGCAGAAACAACAAAACTTCCCAACAACAGCAGAGCAAAACTTTTAACACTTGCACCTCATTACCAACTAACTTTCAATATTCTTACAGAGAATGTTTTTTCCAATTTGATAAATGCACAGTATGAAATCTTTTGGGAACACATCAGAATACACCATCTGTTCGTTAGACTCCCCAGAGGAACTGACCTTCCACTTCATGGAAGGAAAAACCAGCTGTGCAGGCCTACTTTAAAGAACCTACCATGACGATGCACCTGATCACAATGCAGGCTCCAAGCCTGGAGCGAACAGTAGCTTGTAGTCTTAATACTTCTGTTTTCTACTGTAAGCACTGTTTGTAAAGGTGCCTGAAGCCAAAATCATACAAAAGTCAATCTGCAATAACTCATGAGCTGAATGCCATAAAAAAAAATCTGCATAGCAAAATACCTAGGTTAGAATTACCACTGTTATTATGAAAGATCTTCAATGTATAATTATTTTCAGGTTTCATATTAAGTATGTTTATATATAAACAAAACATCTAAAAAGACACATGAATGTAAGCAATTATAGAATAATTTGATCAACTACATAGCAAACAAATTAAACGTGTAATGTATGTCTGGCTTTAAAACCAAGCATTTCCCACTCTGTAAACAGATTCATGGACTTCATGACAAAACAAATAAGCAATTTCCTGATCTTTTTAAACCAAAACCTCTTCATTATCTTCAATCAATACTTTAAAACATCAAACCAAAGATGTAAACCTTTTCTCATCCCCTATATAGAAATTTATTACTGAAACATTTTCTAAGCATCTAAAAATTACGATAATCTTGAACTGGGGGAGTAGGAACAGAGACATCAGACATTACATTACAGACAGGCATACATGACTGTACAGAAACATGGAGTCTTTCTCAGTCGAAGAGCTGGAGAACTGAATTGCACAAGACTTCGCAATGGAGTGCTGCAAACTGGCACCATCTTCTGATATCAAGCAGGAAATGTTATTTTTTCAGCTATGATAAAAATTCATGTAATTCTTAATATATACACCATTCCCAATTTTCTACTGAGAGATTTACTTCCAGCCAGCCCGAGGTTTTAGTCTCTAGGTTACCATATTTTCAAGAGAGATGGTTTGTAAAATGTCACCCACAACACTGAAGCCATTCATCAATATCTCCAAAATTTATTTATCAACTTCTTTAAAAATCACATTTATTCCAAGATGTTTTTAGAACGATACTGTAAAGCATTTTGACAACTGTTAAGCCACTAATGCCCTTTGACCCACTACTCCTGCTAAAGCAATACAATCTCATTATTTTCATACACTTCAGAGCATTATGGTAGGAGCCATTAGTCCTCCTCCTAAGCCCCCTATTTCACACCTATCTTTCACTATATGTTATTAAAGCAGATGCCCCCTCCATACAGAGGCTGCACGTAGGGCTCTTACAGACAAGATCTATATGACATAATTTCATAGTACAAGAAAAACTTTCCCAGTGTACCCTTCCAAAGAGCAGTGTATAACAAGACCCAACCTCTCCTCCTATAGAAGATAAATAATTTTATCAAAACATCAAATCTACATTTTGCGTCAAAAAAAAAAAAGGAATGGATTTGTACTGTCTAGATAGGAAGTGATAGTAGGCACTCTTTTACCTATAGTGCTACATTCCATGCAAACGAATCACGCTACTCAGAAAGGCATACGATTGTATAAAAGTGCATTTATTTTTCGAAGAAGCCTATGGATTGCAGCAGTCCAGAAGGTTCCAACAAAACTAGAATGTAAAACGTCAGATCCAGACACACTCCTGAAGCCCTGCTTTGAGTCACAGCTGTGCCTACAGTCTGTGGAGAAATTGTAAACAACTGCTTCAGAAATGCAGGTTGAAAAGCACGGGGTGTATTTTCGTGGAAGCTCGGCCGTGTGAAACGGACCCTGCCCACAGCTGTGCCGTTGCACAAGAGCTGACAAACTGCAGCCTTGCTTACTAAGAACCTCTGCGAAACACAGACCGCACGGTAAATCTTACAGACCAGAAGCAGCAGTCCTACTCGCTGCCGCGTTAACCAACAGGTGCGTAAGCTCCAACGTTTGCACATCAAGCCAAATATTCACAGGCAAAAGCAAAAACCAGAGCACTTCCAACACACCACGCTCCCGCACACCGCGGCCCCGCCAGTCCTCCCTGCTGAGGCAGCAGAGCCTCCCCGCGGCCGGACGGGGCGGTGCGAGCCACGGAACGCCGGCCAGGAACGACGTTTCCGCAGCGACTTACCGCACGGCCGCTCTAAGAGGTGGATACGGGTGCGTGCCACCTGGAGTTTTAGCGCTTACCGCCCGCCCGCCGCCGGCTCCGAGGCGCTGCCATGGCTGCGCTGCCGCCGCCGAGGCAGGAGGCGGGCAGCCGTGCCCCAGCTCGCGCTCCCGCGCTTCCCGCCCTCAGCAGCCCCTTGGAAAGCATCGCTAGCGATGGAAATGGTGCACAGAGAGCTAACGCCTGACTGTGCTGCACTACAACAGCTGTTAGTCAGTCGATGGGTGGAAAAAAGAAAAAGACAAACGCTCAGACATAATCTTAACTCTTCTTCTGTTGCTGCTATACATTAATTTTCCCTCATATTAAAGCACTTTTCTATGACTTGAGCTATATTTACCAGTGCAAAAACTATAATAAACAAGAATATATCCCGCATGTGTCTGCATACACAGGTAATTTTATCTTTTAAAATATTACTATTACATTAGAAAATAAACTAGCAGAGACAAATAGACACTCTTTCAGGAGAGGAGTTTGCGCTGCAGTGAAGTTTCCTGTAGCAGCATAGGGATGTTTTGATGAGCAAGTTCCCAACACAGAGCTTTACTGACAATGTATGTAAGCTGACATCTTGCAGATTGCTTTTCAGTCACAGCTCTTCAGATGCACTTCTCATTTTTAAGCATATCCATCAGATAAGAACAATTTATTGTGCCAGAGAAGCTAAAAAACATACCTTGATGTAACAAAGGAAATATTACCTGGGAAAACTGCAAATTCTAGTGACATAGTAAGAAATAAACCTCAATATGATTAACAAGAATTTTGTAAAGATCACTTTTTTTGTGTGTAAGAGGCAAAGAGGCATAGAAAACATTTTTCATAATCCGTTCCTGACATTTTAGTAAATTTTTTCATCAACAGACAGCTATCATGCATTATGCCAATAAAAGTCTCCTGTACCATGCATCGCAGCAGCTCAACACCTGAGATGTAATATGCTCCATCTTCAATCATAATTTCAAGTACTGAACACTTTGGCAAGGGAGTTCATAAGTTTATTAACCTTTCAAAGTGCAAATATAGCCAGCTCTTACAGTTCATTTGTCTTCAGTCTAACTTGCCCTTAAATCCATCTGGAACATCTCCCTGATGAAGGCAGCACACCTGTACTCTACTTCAGACAGCATAAACAAACTTAAAACACGGATAAAATATTTTCCTATAATAGTTTGTTTCAATTACATCCTGTGTATATTTTATTTTCAGAATGTTGTTCAACAGCAAGAAATACATCATCAATTTTGCTCTTTCCCTTTATCATAAAAGAAGCGGTGTAACCTTCTGCCTGTTTTTGTCATTAATCACCAGAGAGACGGTAATTTCTGCTGCACTTCTGCCAGACACCCCGTCAGACTGGGAACAACAAACAGAAGTCAGTAAGGGTGTCAAAATAATTAATAACGTATGTGTGTTGCAACTTGTTTGAGAATAGCTTATAGTGAACAACTACATACAGTTAGCTTGCTTATTCTTACTGGTGACATTTAAAGAGGTCTAGAAACCTAATTTTCTCCAGGGATAGGTTACTATCTTTTCCTACTGACCTTAACTCCACTTGCTTCAACGCCAGGGTTTTACTAAGAATCAAGGGCTGAAGTGACCATGTATCTTCAGTAACAGAAGATATATAGCCATCTTCGACATGCAGGCAGTGCATTTCATGCACATGCGTGTTTCTTACGTTCTTATAGTGAAAAACAGATTTAAATTAAGAAATGTTGAAATGTTTGCTGCTTGGCCCACAGCATATAAATCAATTTATCAGTGGATTATCACAGGATACCTCATCACTGCTCAAGAGTTAACTCAAGAGTAGTTTAAGATTTTTAAAATATATATTCAACTGCAAAGGTTCACATATGTAAACTTCTTTCTGTAGTTGCACGATGGAGCGTTCAACTGAACACGTACAAAAAGCCCATCCCTAATGCAGTTGAACAAACAAAGTAGTCTGTCTTTATCAATGTACGGTGCTGTAGCTCAATGCATACCAGAAAGGTTCGTCTTTAAGCGTGCATTTGCAATCATCCATTTAATCTTAAACAGACAAAGAAAAAAAACAAAACCAAAACATGAGCACTCTTCCTCATACATTCAGCTCAGTAAAGAACCACTCCAGTTTGCTACGTGTAAGATTTTGATTTGACAAGTCTAAAAATCATAGCTACCTAAAGTAACTTTGTGCATATTCTTAAAATTGCTCCTTACTAGAACTTTCTGCAGCAAATGTGCATGGCAGTTTTACTTTATTGTCATGGCCTTATTTTCTAAAGAGAAACAAGCCCCACATAATTAGTCAGCATAGGAGCCAGTAACTATCAGCATTTTTTTTAGTCCAGATGCAGTTTAAGTGATAGTGCAAGCAGGACATTTCTGTTGCTATGTAAGCAAAATGTTCATTTATGCCCCGTGATGAGAAGACCACAGAAGTTTCATGAAAAAAAAAATAAAAAAAAAATCAATCAAAATAAACTTCTACAAGTCATAAAGAATTTCAAGGATAACACTAATCGACCAGGCCTGAGTTTCACAGCTAAAAGGACAATACTGCCCATTTTCATTGGTCAGTTCTGGGAGCCCTTTCCAGGATGATCTGATAAAAGAAAGGAAAACAAACAAACAAACAAACAAACAAAACCAAGAGTATTGTTGTTAGATTACACACTGAAATGAACATTACATTGTAAAAGTTTTAAGAATAGTATTTCAGTAGGAAACTTAAACAATATCTGTATTCCTACAGTCACAGTATGTTATTTAACAACTAAGATCCAACTCAATTACTTCTGCTGCAGAAAATTGCAGATTTCTGTGAGAATGTAGATTCTCTGACAATAATACCTGAAGTTATGCTACTAGAATGATACTCCTGTTTCCCATTCAGTAGCTTGAAGTACCAGTTTGAAGAACCTACGTTATCTTTGAGATAACAAATTAACTGGATTACCTATCCAGTTTCAAACTATACTTGAAACTTGATTATGGTGCTAAAAAGTGATGCAGGTTGGAAGATAGTGTGAAACCATAAACCTTCCTCCTCTCCACAGATTTGTTTGTGTACAAATCCCTTTTCTTCCTTACATGATTAGCTAGACAAACCCTTCCATCATAGACTACTGAATCCAATTGATTGTACCCCTCTTAGGGGTACAAATGAATGCATGTTTGATGTACTACAAGAACAGATTGTATCGAAGGGTTATCAAGGGGAAGACTTTTGTTTTTGTCTCAAATTCTTAAGAATTAACAATATAATAGAAAAAGCAATTTGTTTATTTTAAGAAGGAAACCTCAAAATGCAAAGGAACATTTCTGTTGTGAATTCCTCTGTCTTCTTGGAACACCGATATTATTAAGTTTTTGAAGTGGACAGACTAACATATTAGATCTTCCACAAAATTAGTTTTCTCTAGTCTTCACGTGGGTAAATATTATTGATTCCAAGTATCTATGAACAGCAGCACTAGATCTCAATTGTACTTTAAACCTGACTTAAGATCTGCAATAGGATTCATAGTGGCCAACTTTGTATGTAGAAAACAGATGCTATTTATGTTATAGTCTTTGACGTAGTAAAAATAAGTAGTATATTACTTATATTACAGTATATTACTGTAATATTGTAATACTGTAATATTACTGTAATATATAATAATAAGTATATATATACTTATATTACAGTATATTACTGTACATGCAATCAGGTAGTAGATACCACCAGTCACTGAATATTTTGAATCTGTCTTAGATGGTATTTTACCTTTCAAGGTGAACATAGTGGCGAGAAAGGACGTTCTTTATCATAACCACAGTTTTTGCATATATCTCTGGACCAATCAACTTTGAGAAGTACAATTTGGCACGAAGAAAATATCCAATAGGCCACACCCATTCCTAAGCAAAGATAGGAGATGATTATTATGGCTGTCAGTTTCAAGGAATGTCAGCACTTATTTTTAAATTCAAGAAACAGCTCTTACAGGCCCTTGGTGGTAATTAAAACCTCTGGCTACATTATAGTTGTCATTGTCAAGAGCATTATCATATACTCCGCAGTACACCATATCACTGCAAGAAAAACAAACAAACAAACATAAGCAAAACATTAACAGAAATAGTGTACACTATGCATAGCAGAAATGAGCCAAAAATTTTTCATGGGATTTACATCTAATAGGGGTTCAGTCAGGCGGGTCCCAAAATTCTACATTTTGCATTACAATAGAATTCCAAATACTATTCCAAATACTGTACTAACTAGGGGGAAAATTGTTAAAATTTTCAGATGACTTCTATAATTTCACTCCTATGTTTTTATTCAAATTGTAGTGCTATGCACTGTATGATACTGAATTTGCATTTTGATGCCTACTCATATCTTTTGTGATAACAAATTTGAATTGCTTGCTACATGGCATCCAAAAACACCTGGCAATTGTCTACATAAATAAAATCAACTGCATGGAGTTTTAGAACAGTAAAATACTCATTTCTTGAGTATTTATTGCAGCCTTATTTCACAACTATATACAGGAATTTTAACAAAACATAACTCCCCAGATGATAATTTCTACTGCCACTTATTCTTATGTTTGTTATACTTACTCTGGATCTAAAGTTTTCATGCCCAATGGACCAAGTAGTTTTTCCTCTGCTATCCTCAGAGCTTTCCAAGCTCTCTCAGGTGTGAACAACTCAGGGGCCTAATAAAACAGAGATTTACTGAATTCTGCATATGTACGCACACAAGACTATGCATATGACAAAAACCTCTCATATTACTGAGTGAAAATACAATTACACTTCCAGAAACTAGAGACAGAGTAACCAAGAGAAAAGCTGTAAGTTACTTTGGGTTTTATTATTTAAGTAGACTTGAAAAACATTTTTATAAAAATAAACAATCCATGCATTTTAGCTAATCTGAGGGAATTCATTAGCAGGGGGTTGGATTTGATTATCTCCAGAGGTCCCTTCCAACCCGTGCAATTCTTGATTCCTTGAGTCTGTGACTCCCCTCCCCCCGATCTAACCTAAAACAGATAACCTGAACTCTCTGAAAATACCAAACTCTGCAAATTTATCCCAGTGATAAATTTCAACAGCAGTTCCATATAGGTAAGTTCTGGCGAAGTTACACTTTTATCAGATATTCTAATATGGGCCAATATTAAAAGCAAAGACAAGAAAAAACACTTTCAAAATTTCTTCTAAGCAATATTTATTCCTGATATAGTACCATGCAGCTCTTATAATACATGTTTAGTTCAAGTAATTTTAAGGGTAAATGCTTCTTACTCACTACTCTTACTTACCACGACCATTGCTATGGTAAAATTTGGCCTGAGTTGGTAATCACACCATGGACTTGAAGCTCCATAGCTGTCTTTATAAATCCCACGTTTGTGAACTAGATTTGGATGTTTTTCATTTTGATCTGCAGGGTTCTCAGAGACAAAGAAGAGTCTTTCAAAGTGTCCTTGAATTTTTCTGTTCCATTCATCATATGTGATGGTCTCCTCCCTTCCTGCAAAATATTACACAAAAATTTTCTTCAAACCCCCAACAGATGCTTATGGGCTAGCTCTGCTTACTACTGTTGTACTTAATATATTCCTAACACAAGTAAGGCCATAGAAGCACTGCAAAAAAAATTGAAATTGAATTATGCTGCAGATCAACTCTGTCACCTACACAATTTCTTAGAACACAGCTCTTCCTCTCTTCTTTTAACTAGCCAAAAATGAACAGTATGAATTATTATGAACTATAGTAAATATTTAATTGACTAAGTCTAAAGTTTACGTTCAACATTTTCAGCATGATAACATGCCATCTTTTCTGTAGTAGCTTGTATACATACTCTGGGAGACTACAAAAGGAATGTCAAATCATCGGTACAAGTGTCCCTTTTAAAAGCTCTCGCCTTCTGAATTCCTGGCACTTAATGTAAGAGGAGCACACCTTGTCACCTCTCTCCACCTGGTGGTTCTCCATGTCAGGTGCATAAGTTCATAAAAGCAGCTCACTGTAGTTTCAAACAAGACAAGAAAGGTGTCTAGAAAACACCAGACAGCAACTGCTTGCAGGAACACTGAAACAGTATCTCCTTATTTAAGCACAATAAAGTTTCATTTTCAGTAGACTGGCACCACATAGCACAGGTGGATTGCACTGTAAGACACCAGTGCAGAAGTTCCGTATCTAATTCTTAATTTTAAGTTAACATAGCCATCCAGAAATATTGTGTTTGCAACACAGATAAACGAAACAAACACAGAGTTCAAACAAACAATAAAATGGTTTAGTATGGGAAAGTAAAGAAAGTATGATTATCATACTTCTACTACATTTTAATAAAAACTAACACTAGTATTAGGAAACTGAGATGTACATTTATTTTTGAAAAATTTAAATTCCTCTTTTTCAGATGTTAGCCTGCAGAACTGTGCTAGGAATATCCTTCCAATTGAGATACACGTACATCTTAGATAAACAAGTATATCAAAAAGGACAATACTACCAAAACTGTGATATGGTATGCCAGAAGACAAAAGCAAGCAAAACAAACCACAACTAGAAACTCCAGTGCTAAGCCTGCTATTATGAGCCAATAGATTGTAAGTCAGTTTTAAAATGGATTAATCAGTTAATGAATTAAATTTAAACTTAAACAAAATGAAAGACAGTAGGGAACACACAAGCATCAAATTCAATCTAGAAAAATCACTTACAATTCTGGGATAATAGGAAGAAGTCTGTATCTACACTTCATAATAATGCTTCATGCTGAACCCTGAATTGCCTTTCAGATTTTAAGATATTTTGAAGTGACAGGTAAGTTCATGACCTAAGAATCTGGATGTATAGGAGAAAGCCCTGTACTCACATTTTCTAATATAGAATAAGAGAACCATTCAATGAAATGTTTTCAAGATTAACTTTGACTGAATGGTAGAACAGCTTTAGAAGTCATTTATATTCACCTGAGCCCCATAAACTCACTGAAGTAACTCAGATCAGAGCAGCATCCCTATGAAACAGAGGGGACATCTAAAGATACTTAGGTCTTGTGTCATTTTAGTTCTCTTCCTTGTAATGAATGATGTGCACCATTACGATACATAATGATCACATCACCAATATCCACTTGAGAAACATTGTTTAGGCTCATTCTTTCAAAATTCTTTTGAAATCCACACCATATTATATGCAATAAAACATTTCATACATTGATCCGACAATCGACTCCTAGTAATTTTAGTAACAAAAGAGGTGACTTATACAAAATACTTTACTCAAGTTTGTTCTTTCTCTTTCATGAATAGTTTTGATAATCATTCCTGATGTAATATGGCCACCAGCTCATGTGACTTATTTTCATACTCCCATAATAGATCAATGACATCTGTTCAATTTTACCGTATTTTTTAATGGTGACGCCATGGAACGGATATTCATTTTTCCTAGACAAATCCAGCAACCAGCGAACAGCCGACTTGCACAAGCCAACAATCTCCACAGCAGAGCCATCTCTAAAACAATGTTTTAAAAGTCCAAGAATTACTTTAAGAAGGCTACTTAATATACAGATTTCTTCCAGTTACTGGCAGAACTTTAAGCACCTTATTTAAGTGGTGTATTTTTTTCCCACTGGTTATGCACATTGTTTTTTATTTAAAATGAAAATATATTTTTTATTTTGCCTCAAAACTGCATACCACATGTATGAAGAACTGGCACGTGCATCCCCATCATTATCTCCAGACATTTTCTAGTACATTATGATATTTTAACACAATTTTTTCATCACATTTTCCCTGCTATTACTTAAAGACTTCCAAGAATCTGATAATCTAAACTAACTTTGATTAGTAAGTAGTCACAAGCCATTCACAGCATCATTCACTTTCAGTTTTCTCCTACTAGCTTAGAATACATATTTAATGAAGAGGGCTAGAAGGGAGAAAAAAAAAAACACCATAAAAACTACAATTTAGAGGAAGACAAAGTGTACAATATGATAATCCAAAAGGAAAATGGTACTTCCAATCTAGTCCCTCTTACTACAGCCACAGCCTGTAGAAAAGCATAAACCTGAATGCTGAAAACTGGTCTATGCAAATAAGCAAAGTAAATGCTTGCATTGAAGATATTATGTATTAATAAAATGAAACTTAATACAAATATTAGGTGATATTGCAAGTCTGCAAAAATACTGCACTAAGCTTGCAAAAAATGTCATTAATAAACACAAAGGCATGCATTAGAAATATACTAATAGTCGCTAAGACTACCACGAGTGCTTTTATTTCAACACTGTTACCATGAAGACCTGTCTCCCAGAGGAAACCTAACACAGGTTCTTTATAAAAAAAAACAATGACACTTTACTGCTTATAACCAAGACAAAAGTTTACAAATCACACAAGCAAAAAAAAAAAAAAAAAAAAAAAAGAAAGCCAGAAACAGGGAAACAGCAGCACTAGACTGCTTTAAATCAGTCTGTTTGGATATATAATTTGCATACCACATACTTGCATACCACACTGCCACACTATTTCTCCCTATCTTATAATCTTATATAGACTTTTGCCATCAGTATAAAGCAAGAAAATCACAGGGTTTGTTTCACTAATCACGTCATATCCATAGAGTTGGTTACAGAAGAGCTTGATTTCTAAATATTTTACCCTTCATTTTAAACTTTAAATATTGCAGATATTCTTATATTTTAAAAAATAAATATTTAAACCAATTGTCAAAAGTATCTCCTGTAACAAGAGGTCATACATCATCAGTCCAGATAACAAATATTTCAACAATCTACTATTGCAAGTATACAAGTTTTCCTAAATTGTTTTACTACTTGACGTTCAAAGTTTACTCTTTACAAGGAGTGAAGTCCATGCTAGAAGATGAGCACTGCCCCCACTCAAAAAGAAAAAAAAAAAAAAGCAAGAAGGCTGGGTTTTGTACCTTGGAGTAGCAGGGATTCCTTTGTTGCGAGCTCTGTCGCTCTCTCCCATTTTATCCATCCAAGTGCCGCAATTGAAGCGGTTCCCTCCGAAGACAAAGCCAGTTTCCCGGTCAACACCTGCTATTATATTAAAACCTGCCAAGCAAAAATATCACGTGTGAAACCTATATGCTAAGAAAACACAAAGCCCCAAGTGTCTGCCCCAGCACAAAGATCCTACAAAAACAAAAACCCTGCACAAAAGAGAGATCGGAGGTGGGTTTTCACAGGCAGCTGCACTTTTTGTGTGAACCTCTAAAATAACTTACCATAATTGCTGAAAGCAAACAAGCACTTTCTAAGCATTAAGTGCACTTATAGTAATATAGTACCATTAAGAAAACCATCACTTTTTCAAAAGTAAACTCAATAGCTTAATGTAAAATAATCAGATGCAATATTCATAGTTTGAATTGCATAGCAAGCGTGCTATACATATACTTTTTTTTTCTTTTTTTTTTTTTTACCTTCATCTCTCATGTTTTGATCTATTTGTGGACCAGCGTTTCTTTCTCTGAAACTTATGCCTTCCATGTGTCGTTGCATTGCCTCCTGTATTACTTCATAGAGTGGCTGATCCTAAATTGGTTGGCATAGAGAAAGGTAAGATCAACAGACCTAGTAAAAAGGTTCTATATAATGTGCAGACAGTAGCAATTCTTAGCCTCTGTGATGCTTAAAAAGAACAGCATCTAGATTTTCAGCAGCATTTTATCAATATGATACGCTAAAAATAATTTTTAGAATTGTGCAATTATTAACATTAAATTCTTTTCAAAACTGAAAGCAAATAAAAATGTAGAATATATTTTTTCCATACTCCCACCTCACATCTGTCTAATCGAGTAATGGAAACGTAGTGGAAAGTATCCAAGACATAATTCTTGTAGATAGATAAGCTATAACCTTTCATAAAAATTACAGCTGTGTTACAGACTTCAAAAATCAGAAGTCATCTTTACCACAGTGCCTGCAGGCTGAGGAGAAGAATCATCTCTTGGGTACATCCTAGAAACGGGACACCTGAGAATGTCTAATCCATTTGGAACAATCTTACAGTAGTCCTGGATACACTGAAGCCACCACCACACAGCATCACGGCAGTTGTATCTGGCATGTGTTCCTTGGCCAAGCAGGTTAGGAATGAGGCCATGTCTTAAAGTCCCACCAAATGCTAGAATTATGTTTCTTAAAAGAAGAGAACAATCTTAAGTTACTTCCAGGCAATTAGTGGACCAAAGATTAATTACAAAGCATACAAGTTTATCTCAATAGCAAAGTTAAAGAGAAAAACAGTATCTTAAAGACAGATTTGTAGCTTCCAACAAAATGTTTCAGCATGATTTCATTTAGTATATACTTCATTAACAATAAAAAAAAAAAAATCTTACTTTAGAAACTTCCTAATACTTTTTTCTTTTTTTTTTTTTAAAGATGAAATATGTAACTCCTAATATGGTAAAGGTAATTTCCTTTTTCATGGGTTTGACTCCTTTGATGTCAGAGGGAAAGGTTTCAAATGACATTTATTGTTTTTTATTGTCATTTATTTTCTTAATATCGATTCAGGTGGAAGTGGGAAGTAAGGGAGAGCAGAATCAAATTCCTATTAAAATACAAAGAGGAGCCAGAAACTGAGGTTTTGAGAAGTTTTTATGCTTTGCATAAAAGATGAACTCCCTCTGGCTTTAAATTACAAGATAAACATACTTGAAGACTACAGATATAACTGCAGATGGGCAGTATTAGTTGATCAAGTGTACAGCAGCATAAATACATGCTAATTTAAACCAACTAAATTCTATATCCATACCCTGTGGAGTGCTGCACCCAAATTAAAAAGATTAATACAAGATTAATGAAAATTGTTAGCTCAGTAAGTCTGGCTTATATCTGACTCATTTATCAGGTTAAACATTTGCATCTCACACACAGATATCAGATAATAACAATCCACAGTTAGCTGATTTCCAGTATTAGACTAGATTAGCAGTCACCAAACAAAAAGTTATGGCAGAGAGGAAATAGTATCTTTCTGATCAAAATGGAAATCCCTTGCTACTTCAAATTTTTAAATAAGTTACTGCTCAGCAACAATACTTGAAATAATCTCGTGGTTTAAGGACAAGCGGGAGTGTTATGGGTTAGAATTGCCTTATCTATATTGAGCATCAGCTGAAATACCAGTGCTCAGGATGCAGAACAAAGCAATATAAAGTATTTTTCATTTCATTTACAAAGAACTCATAAATCCATCTGGGGCCACAGAAATTTTATACAGTACATCAACTGTTTCTAACAGCTTCCATGTTCTCTAGGGTTTTGAGAGCGTGTCTTTTTCCTAAACATCTGCAAAACTATTTCTATCAGCAGAAAGAACTAAGCACCAGATGCTCTTACCTTGCTTCTATATAACGTCCCGTAAGTAACATTAGGCCTCTAAGTGCAATAAAGGTGTCCCTTCCCCAAGAACGGAAGATTCCAGAAGAGAAGTGAGGTAAACCTAATAAGAAATGCTGTTAATCTCATTTACAGATGGGACAAAAATCTCCAGCAGACATGTCTAACATGTACACAGAAAACAGAAGTAAAAATATATCCGTGTGCAACTGTAGATTTTTCCTAGAATTGCTCTATGAAGAGTTTGTTGTATTCTACAGCTTTAAAATCATGCAACAGACTATCCTAATTGATAACAGTCACATTCAGTTGCTGTTTATTTTGTTTACACACTACATAGCATAACCAAATGCCATCTTTTAATTAAAATAATGCCACCACAAAAAAAAAAAGCCATAACCAGAAAAGGAACAAACAAAAAGCCAGAACAATGACATGATATATAATGCTTTGTTGGCAAGAGTTTATGTTCAAAAGCCATGTCACTTCAGTAGTATAAAGGGAATGACTAGAGAGCTATGAATTTCTTCAGCCTAGAAATACTCTCAGTCACTATAAAAGGAATCCTGCTTCTCTTTTGGAGCGATTCCTAGAACTACATTTTACAGCAGACATTATGACATCACTTTATGCTTTAACTGTAAAATTTCTTTTCTTAATTGCAACAGTTAAAGTACATTTTTTGTCTTTTCTTCTATTTGTTAGCTTTCCCAATCTAACAAACAAGAAATGCATTATGGTGGTAAAGATTCAAAACAATAGCCTGCTGTACACGCTTGCTTAAACAAAACTGTGGCTTCTGTCACTAGATCACCTACTGTATTTGCTAATGCTCCAATACAGCCTCTGCACATCTGTAATTTTACAGAATATGGCAACAGCAGCTTGAGAACAATGATCCATTTACGAGTTAAAAGTATCACAGGCTCAAATATGTGATGAGAATATTTAAGACCACGTCCGTCTGTATAATTAATGTCTGTGATTAAATTAAGTGAGCTGTGCTTGTCTGTGCTTCCAGGCAACACTAAAACAGCCAAATGGAATGTTACTCGAAACCAGAAACTAAAAGCAGTACAATTCTATGGAAAAGACATACAGCAGAAAGAGCAGGAAAGGAAACCCAGCCAGCCTGGGGCCATGGAACCTGCAGATGCTAGAAGTTTCTATGGTTTAAAAAAAAAAAAAAAAAAAAAAAAGGAAAGAAAAAAAAAAAGAAAAAAAAAAAAAGGAGTGGGCCAATTTGGAGAAAAAAATTAAAAGCCACTAAACACAGTAAATAATACTTCTGGCACAGCAAAGTGCCCACTTCCAAGACATGCTGGCAGAACATTTGGAGAAATAAAATGCATCTACTGACTGCTTTTATGGTCTTTCCTAAGCAACTATTGTTGCCCCTTTTGGAGAGAGCTCAAGACCAGAGATTCTTTTGGTCCATTAATAGCTCTCATGTCACTCCTAAAAACTTGTAAGCAGTAAATCCACGCTTGCTATTCATTACAACTCAGTTCTTAAATTAACATTTTAAAACAAACTAGAACCTATTATGGGAAGCACTACTATCCCAATCAAGTCTTTTGGAAAGAAAGAAAACATGCTTGTGGATCTCTTTAAATGGAAAAACTGGATAAGTGTTTTAACAAAATACTGAGAAGCTTTTTTTCCCCCTGAGAGCAAAAGTAAAATGGCTATCCCCCAGAAGTACTGCTAGACAAAACTCCATTCTTTTTAAACAGAGAAACATTTAATTTAAAGGCAAGTTAAAACACAAGGAAGAGTAAGGACAAAAACAACATTTGAAATACAGCTTCTGGCATTTAGATCCCAAAGGTAGTGAAAGCAACTCCGATAGTTTTGAAAGAAATATAACTCTTCTATAAGAACTTATTTTTCTTGATGTAAATATTGTTCTCACTTACCAGCTGCTAAAGTAACACAGCACTGTTCTTTCTTATTTGTAATCTCATTCAGCCTATAGGGAACATCATGTAAGGAAGGAGACAGATCTGGCAGACATGCATATTTTCCTATCCCACACATCTGGATTGAGCCCAGGGAAAGGTGTTTAACAAATGTTGATCCATTCTGCACAAAGCTGTAATACAATATAAACAAATTAAGAAATATGTGCATACCAAAATATCAGTGCCCTTTTTTCATTTGCAGAAAAGTAAAACAAAGGTTATTTTGTTTTAATAATACACAATACTATAAAGTGATAGAAACAATCAGTGTATTATGCATTAACTTTGCACATAAGATTTAATTTTTAATTTACTTTTTTTCCAAAATAGCTGTCCAAAATTAGCCTTAAATATTTAACTTATTAATGCAAATGGGAGTGTTTACACGTTGAATACTTTTAGGGAAAGGCGCAGCAAAGTGAAATTGGTTTAATTTATTTGATGCCTACATATTGATCTCAGACCGCAAAATAGGAGAGAATATTTTTAAAAAGCATTTTTAAAGATCTCTGCATCTGTATATATATATATATACATATATATATACACATACATATATTCTTCTCACATAATAGAATCCTAAGTCATTAACTCATTTAGCATTTTGGCTAATATAACGCAGCCTGCAATCCTGACTTTTTTCATAAAATACACAGTGTTTTCCACATGGTATCACAGCAATACCAAATCCAACATCATTACTTTTCATGAAATTATTTGTTGAGAATATTCACAACTAGAATAGAGCTGTCATTAAATTGATCTTCCTTCCTTTTCCAGGAAAGGGCACTGATAATTTCCAGAACTAAGGGCAAAAGAAACATTGAACAAAGCACCAGAAGAAGTGCAATCTCTTTCTCCCAGAAAGCACTGCAGCTTCACTAAAAGCAGCACCAAGATGACCTCTGCAATGCTTCAAAAAATGCTTGTTATAAGGTTTTATCCTCCAACAGTACAATGCCAGCAATAGTTATAAATCCAAATCCAGGATAGAAATAGCAATTAAACCTTCCAAACCATCGCAGCTAAAAGGCTGATTTGATTTTCACTACCAACAAATATTGCCATCTTCCATCGGACAGCGCAAATACAAAAACAATATTTAAATGTCATTCTTCAACAGATCAAACATAAAAGTTGCAATATCTTTACATCACTGACATGCCAAGCATACCTGGACATCTGATGCCATCCCACATCCAGAAGAGTTGTGTATGCACCCACTAAAATGGCATCAAAGTAACATGGAATAAGGTAACGTGGAATTTTCTTCAAATACACAAACATGGCCTTCAACCATTTACCAACCTATTAAAATATAACACTGTTAGAAGTTGACAACACTGGAGTTCAAAAACAGTGCTTATAGGATATATTTGGTTAAAGCATTTATTAGATTTTTAACAGATATGAGAATGCTACAGTCTCTCTTATTACATTAATTACCTGAGTTACCCAAATAAAATCTTGTGAAATGAATAAAGCAATTCTCTTGTAGGAAAGTAAAATGTTTTGTAATGTGGGTATGCAGGTAACTTGAATCTCAGTGCTTGATGGGGCAAATCTTACTTTAACTGCATCATAATCATGTATGCCTCAGTAGTATTTAGAGCCCTTTCTGAAAGAACTCGCTTAAAAAGATGGCTACTTCATTTTTATTTGATGAGAAGTAATAAACAGGGAAGGAGGCTTTCAAGCTTTTATGTAAGAGCTAAAAAAAAACTCTTTATGCCCTACATATATTCTCCAGCTCTCTTTTGTAATGTATTCTTAAATAAGTTCAGTGCAAAGTAAGAAAACCACATTATTGTCTTAGTATCCCAGAAGAAACTGCCTAGAGAAGTAATATTTTATTGACAGACTGAATCTGAAGGGCAGGTTGGATCTGGCCCTGGGCTGCCTGGTCTAATATTAAATGTGGAGGCTGGCAGCTCTGCCTATGGCAGAGGGGTTGGAGTTTGATGACCCTCGAGGTCCATCCCAACCCAAGCCATTCTATGATTCTACGAACTTGTTAACAGTAATAATGAAAAACAAAGCAAAACAGTCATTTGAAACACTGAAATCATGAAATATATCTTTTTACTCACTTCTGCACAGGCTCCTGCACGTGAAATCAGACGATTACTGACATAATCGATCATCCAGTCTCCAGATCTTAAATTATTACAGAATGGATGTCCCAAATCATTCTTTGGTCTAATGTCTGCCATTACTGACATTAACCCTGAAGAGATAAATCCAACACAGTATTATAGGACATATAAATAACACAAACAGAAATTATGTTTCCAAGAGGAAAAGTTACAAAGCAACAGATAACATTAGTTGGCTTTAACTACAATACTTCTCTTGATCTGCAGAGAGAGTTAGGATACAACTCATTTGCTGTTTCCTCAGAATATATCCTACACAGTCACAAAAACCCCCATGGAATAAATGTTGCTTGATGAAATTCATGCCTGATAAATGACTGACACTCCTTAGTTATCTGGTAGTGCCTCTGGTTTAATAAATGACTTCTCATATTAGTTTCACATACATTATATACATTTGCTGTTTGTTTTAAATGCCAGAGACTGGTGTTTAAAACATATTGAAATTAATTTTTTAGTCAGAGGGTGGTGAGGCACTGGCACAGGTTGCCCAGGGAAACTGGATGCCCTACCACACCTTGGGGTGGGTTCAAAGCCAGGTTGGATGGGGCCCTGGGCAGACTTATCTGACGGTGCTCATGGCAAGGAGGGTTGGAACTAGATGATCTTTCAAGTCCATTCTAATCCAAGCCAATCTATGCTAATCTTATGATTAATTTTGAATTCTAGAATACTGGGAAAAAGTTGTAGTTCAATTATGTTTCTACAATTTGATTCCCTGGGTTAAAACACTGATTAACATGATGAAGCAGAAAGCACATATTTTTTGTCTAAGCAGTAGCACTAGCCATTAAACAGTACTGAAGAATGATCTAGAGGGAGGAGCTCTATTTTATCCATTTCCCTGACAGAAAAAAATAGAATTCTGAAACTATTACCTTGGAGACCTGCATACTTCAGAGGTGACCAGTTTGGTATATTGTAACAACCTCCACCATCTTCTTGTTCTTCTGACTCACACCTATACAGCACTTGATTTAAGTCGGCCAAAGTTAGTTTAGATGCAATTCTGGAAAAACAGAAACAAACAACAAAACACAACACACTCCACATTAGGAAGTCTACTTTAAGTCACAATTACACAGAACAACAATGAAAGAGCCTGGAAACCTTTTAAGTATCAATTCTGTTCAGTATTATACATATGAAAAGAAAATCTCAGTTTTATAACAATCCAAAAAATCCAACCATAAAAACAGCAACAAATCCTTTCTTTAAATTTTCAGACATTTTTGCTCTTACTGTAGTTCTCATTTAGAAACCCAAAGAATACTTACGAAGAAAATAATGTTTTTAATATAGGTGCTGAATGATCATCAGGAAGACTCCCAGATTTAAAGTGAGGACTGAACTGAATCAGATGATTGCGAAGTATACCAACAGCTTCTTGTGCCTTTGGATCAAGACTAACTCTGAAATATGAATGTATAATTTACAGAATGAAGTACTTATCATGACCATTTCCCAAATCTCAAAAACAAAGAATCCTAATATTCTATTTTAACTAGTACAGCCATTTAGCAATTAGTAAAACGTACCTGAATACTATTACACTTCCTGGTGTTAAATTTTCAAATTCTATTTCTTGGACAAATTCATTTGGCCCTTTTATGGCAGTTCCAGCTTGCTTTATAATTTTACTGTCCTTAATCTTAGAAAAGAGAACATATTCGCAACTGAAAATCAATGTCTTTTTTCTAAGGTAAAAAAAATCATAACAAGATATTACATTAGAGATGAATAAGGATAATTACCTGGATATGCTCTCTGAGCTCCACTGTGAAATTAGGCAATCCATTTATGAAATGTTCATCTTTTTTGTAAGGACTAGTGCTTTTCTCTATAGTTCTAGCCTCAAATACTACTTCTTCAATTTTTCCTAAGAAAAGCAAAACCATGTTGCAGCTATTAATATGGATTAAATGAGAGCTAACACTTTTGAATACATGAACTAAAAAAATCAAGAACTAAAAAACTAAATATGTAAAATGCAAGCCTCTATGGTACAACAAAAGACTAACTAACAAAACACATGGGAAGTGCTATAAATAACCCATAAAGCATTCATTACACACTCATCAACTATCTTATTTTAAAATTGCATTTCTTTTCATTCTATAATAAAATAAACCATTAAATCAATTATCAAATGGTGAACTAGAACTTGTTATTTTTATTGTTGTTTTTTAAAGCATTCCAAGCTACAGATATGGATGGTGAATTTTCAAAGAGTAACAACTTACATTTACGAACAGTAATCCCTTCCAGCACCCTGTACAACTAATCAACTTCCTCTTTTCTTACCATTTCATAAACACAGATACACGGGGAAGTTACAGCAGAAAGTTGTATGAAAATATGAAAACCTTTGAAAATCCCAAGCAAGTTTGTTGTTATTTCTTTAACCACCTTTGGTGCACACAGATTAGTACCACAAAAGTAGTGTTATATACTGAAAATTGTCACATTAAGTTTGTGTGTTAAAAAAAGAATAGGAATACCTTGAATTAATACACACACACATACACATTATTGCTCACAAAGAAATCTGATTACCTGGGATACACATTTCAGGTACTTCTTTACTGTAGAAGGAAGTCTTTGGATCCCTGAAAGCAGTTCTGCTTACAGCCACAACAGACTGGTGGGTGTTAGGGCAATGTCGTGTCACTGCCACTATATCTTCATCAACTTGATCTACATACACCTAGAAAAGGCATATCATTACAAACAGGCTCATTCAAAATATAAATATAGAAAATCAAATTGTTACCCCGTGACTTGCCTGATTGAAGCCTTTAGTTCCCAGCTCCTGATGCAGTCTGTTCATGGCTAGCCTTCCAGCTAGAATTCCTGTCTGGAAATTAACTTCACCAGAATTCAGGTGTGCTTGTGGATTCCAGGTTGAATAAAACCTCTCTTCAGATACTACGGAAATCTGTAGGGAAATTAACTTTTTGCAAATATCAACTACACTTAAAAACAAACAAATGGCGATTCCAATTATGTAATCAAGTCTAATTTCATATGAAATTAGACAACCCAAGGAATGCTAACTAGTTAACTGCTTGGAATTTAAAACCAAAATAAAAACATGCTAAAAACAAACAAACAAACCCATGAAAAACAAAAACCAAAAGCTCACAAACCGATACCAGAAACAACTCAGTGTTAAAATACTTAGAATCAAATATATGTTTTTAAAAGTAATTTAGAAGTTAAGCTGTAAACACAGACCTGGTGTGGTACTAGTTCATCATAACCTTTGGTGCTTCCTGTAGCACAACACGCCATGGAAACAATCATTGCACTTGGAAGTGCATCATACACAGATCGGTGCTAGGATTAAAAAAATAAAATAAAATCACATACAAAACAAGTAAAATATATAATTCATCCCTCCTGATTCAGCAAATAGAAGATAAACTCAGTTTAATAGAGGAACTAATTACTTACCACGTGCTTATAATTTTCTCAATAATAGATTTATTGATGACTTACTGCAAATGCACTAGCAAAAGCAACCTAAGAACAATCCTCAAGTATAAGCATTTCAGTTCACACCATTCTCTCTCTCATCCTCTCCTGGAAAACAGGAGTGTAGGAGAACAGATGAACTATCATACAAAACCAATTAGCAGCTGGAATGAAAGAACCAAAACAGCTCACTGAATAGTCAGTAGGACTTTTGTTTTTCACGTTTTCAAGTTTTCACCTCCAGTGAATCAGTTTTCTAAATATTGCTGAGAAGGGGAAAAAAAGTAAGCATGCAGACTGCAACAAGCCTTCCCATCATTCAGAAACATCAATTTAGAAAAGAATAAACAAACTCTGGTTTCCAATTTACATGCTTACCTGAATTGGACACTCATTGTCATGTGTAATATCCATGAAGAGCGCATGCGCTATTCCTGGCACCAAAGGCCGCAAACGTGGCTGAACAAAAGAGCCAACAGGCTCACCTCCAAAACGATAAACCAGCCTTCCCTCTTCGTGGCTATTATAAGCTGTCATGGCCTCTATAGAACAAAATAGATAAGTGTTTGCATAAGAGTTGCTACCATACAGCACAGCAGGCACAGATGTTAAATGCAGAATTTTACATTCTTTATTTTGGTGCGTTCAAATATCACATTAAAACTTTTTTCTCCAATATGGATACACAGACTTGAAGTACTCTGTTTACTATAGTGCATAAAAGTAGGAGAGGGACAAAAGAGCTATTTTTCCCTCTCTGGTTTCCCCAGAGGATTTAGGAAACTCATGCAGCAAAAGTCAGATCTGATGCAGCACTTGCATAGCGGAGCTGTGCTACAGTTTCTTTTCTCCCTCACTGTAACAGAAGTGAAATATTTAACATCCAGTTAATACTGTAATGTTTGTTGCTTTTTTTTTTGTTTGTTTGTTTGTTTGTTTTGTTTTGTTTTCTGAGAATCAAATACATTACATTGAATATGAAATTAGAAGCATGTAATCCAGAAAGAATCTTTTCTTCAATGAAAATCCCAATCCCATTCTCTATAATCTCCAGCTGGAAAGTTCACACTAATTTCTTGCATTGCACATGCACAGCAAGCCTACCTCTTATTAAGGAGGTAATGCCCAGACTATTCACAAAGACATTGTCCAACTCCTCATTTCCTGTGAACAGTTCAGCCACTACAAACAAATCAGCTCGCAACTTTCTAGCTGTGTCCAGCATGTACTGCAAAAAGCACAGCCAAAAAAGCCACAGAAAGAGGAAAGGTAGACATAAAAGAGGACAAATTTCAAAGCTAGGCAGGGATTGAAATAGGAAAATGCCATGCAGCAAGGATAAATAGAAAGCCAAAATTAAGTAATTTAAATAACAGTTGAGGATGACACAAACATAAGCAAAAAATAAGGTTTAAGATTCAACAGAGGAGGAATTAAGTACAACATGAAGAAGAGAAGATAATTGCATAAGCAAAGAACATAAACACGTAAGAGAAAAAAAAGCATATCAATGTTAGTTTCACATTAAAATCTCCAAACCATACATAACAATCCTCTACAACTTTCAACTGCTTATTGTACCTCTAATCAGGCTGGTAATTCCCAGGCGGTTGACAAAAACATTGTCAATGTACTCACTGCCCGTGAAGAGTTCAGCTATCACATAAAGATTAGGTCTGACTGATCTGGCTGTAGCTAGCATCTCCTATAGATCATAATACATTTTTAATGGAAGTCATCCATTGTCAGCTACGTACAGGCAATCATCAGTGTGAATGTTAACCAATATAAATGTGTTTTTCATGCATGCGATTCATGAAAACAGTCATAACAGGTAGCATTCATAAAATTGTTTTTACTCTGTGGAAATTTACATATTATTTAAATAATTCTAGAAAATATCCTGAAGATTTTAAGCCAATTACAACTTTGTTTTTAAATAAATGGTGCAAATGCAAGATGGAAAAGATCTAGTAAGCCTTCAAAAATTACTACTCCAAAAATAGTAACAAGTGTACAAATGGTGCAAGTGTTTAAAAAGCTGCATTTTAGAATCACAACTTCCGTGCACACACATCAGCTAGTTTGAGTTCTTCACAGATCTAGGTAAGCTCTGTGCCAAAGCTAAGACATGGCACAGCAAAGTACACAACTCAAACCTGTGTAAAACTACTTTACTAGTTAAGTACAATTTCTGGCTGTAGTCAGCTCCATAGGGAGCAAGCACTAAATCTAAGCAATAAGCCTGAGTAAACTTTCTGCTGATGTTTTTGCCAACGTTTGAATTATGAAATGTAGAAACCTTCTGGTCTAATTCGGCAACAGTGAAACATACATGGCAAATAAACACTAATAATGTTTACCAAGTCTTAGAAATGACCAGGGCTAGAACTGACATACTAGATACTAGCAGTGATTGCATTTCAGTCTGCAGCTGCGTGAGAAGTTTCCCATACCCATCACTGCCTTTGGTGTTTCAGCTGAAATAGAGAATGAAAACATACAATAGCTACACCATTTTGCTAACTGTTCAGAGTAACTAGAATTATATCTAAATATTGCCAGTCAAAAACATTGTCTACACTGAGGAAGCTTTATTCACACAAACCCTGTAGATCTTGTATAAGCAGAGGACAACTTATTTCCCATTCAGAAGCTGCTTTACCGTCAGTGTGCTTAGTTTCACGTACCTCAGCTACATGAATAGGTGTTGAGTGACAGTTGTCAAGACGAACACCATGGAAATATTTGGCAGTGATTTCAGTGTATTTTTTCATATGTGCCCAGAGGTACGGGCAGTCTTCAGGTTTGTTACCATACCGCAGTTTCACACTGTCTCCCCAGCAAATAAGCTCTCTTCTCAAGTACACATTTGAACCTGAAAGGAAAATAAATGCACTGTAGTATACATATTGGATCGAATGTGTACCAAAAGATGTGGCATTTTGTCTTCTACTGCTTAAGAGTAGGAGGATGCTGTGATTATGAGTAAAAATTCTAACAACAACCACATTAACTCAGAATCTATATACCTTCTACCATTGTATAATTTCAGACCACTCCAATGGAATAATTGAATCCAGTAGTAATACTGAAATTCTCAAGACTGACACTAAATTACATTTATTTCTTTAAATATGGCAGTTGTACTCGAGAAAAAGAGCAATGAAGGTGGCGAATTCAACAGCATAATACTTCATTTCCAGAAACTTTACAAAGTTAGTCATTCATAATACAGCATACGTATGAACAGAATGACTGTTCTGGATGTCTGTGCTGGTCAAACTCTAAAAAGCACTTCACTTGTCATAAATAAACTGCCACAGCCACAGTTCAGAATATAATCTTTTGCTAACAGCAGATTGCAATGTCATAAGCCAAATTTCTTAAGTACTCAGGTGGATAGGTAACTTAAATGGACAAGGTCTCTAAAATATTTATCCTCCACAGAGCCTAGTTTTAACTTCTTTTTGATGTAATCTACTAAAAGAAAAATAACCAACACTGTATAAATTGGAGTTCAAGTGTATATAGAATAAACCTCAATTTATGCCAGAGTTTTAATTGTGGCAAAGACTTAAACAGTCTTATCTAAAAAAGTGACATCTCCCATATGACACAGGTATTTGACATGGCAGTATCGAGATATTTTTTCAGTGTTATTTGCAACAAGTAATATCTGAGCACAATAAAATGGAGTTTTCAATAATTAAAGTGCAGCAGGAGAAATACTGTTGTCTTTGAGCCATCAGTCTTCTGAAAGTCTGTTTATATTCACTGTATCAAAGCCCAATCAAAGCATGAATAAGCTCAGCATTATTCTGGATAGCTAAGACAGAGCTGCTGCATCGCTCTCAGCTATTTCCAGTTCAGCTATACTGATATTACTTTAGTGGTTGAACGTTGGATTAGATAGGAAACTTATTCATCCAAAAAGCAATCCTGCCTTAGCAAAGAGATCATCATTGAGTCAGACTAATTCCATAAGGCTCATGTCATGGGCATATACAATGACAGATACATAATAAGAACAAGCAGCTACCAGGAAGAAAGCAGGGATTTTAAGATGCTTCTGCTACCAAAAATGTTAATTTAGGCACAGTCTACACTACAATATCACAGTCTTGACGTAGAAACTTAAACAGAAAAAAACAATTTTCTTTGGATGTACACTAAGCTTGTTTAAGTTACAAAACTAGCTGTGTTTCAATTGCTGTACTCATGCCCTTATGTATCATCTCCTTACACTGCTTTATGGTACACACTATTCCTACTGAGACTAAATGTGGGACACAAGTATATGAAATACAAAAAGCCATAGATCAATTCAGAGACAACACAACAACAAATTACTAAAAACAGTGGCCAAAAGAAAAAAAATTGCCCAGGATTACCCAGAAAAGGCAACAGAAAAACACATATAAAACACTTATCATCTTTACTGATGTGTAAAGGAAAAAACTAATAGAAGGCAGTGAAATGGCTACAGATTATATTGCAAACAAAGTTCCACTGGCACATTTCATTGTGGATTATCAAATGGATTATCTTCTAAAGCAGACACAGCAAAATCTGCCTTTTTTGAAATTTAATTAAACTGGCCATTATTTGATTCAGTTTACAAATAGCATTGCTATCCCCGAAGAAGTAAGTATGCATTTTCCTGAATGGTAAATAAATACCCTGTGATACCTTTACAAGTAATGCACATACTTAGGTGGATTAATTTTCTTGACAATGCCTGCATAAACAGGTATTACGAACCACACACTGAAGGTGCCCCTAATGCAGAGCTGACAAATACCTAGAATGAACTTAAGTCAGGGACAGAAAGAACACTGTTAGCTTTTAACACCAACATCAATATTTTCAGTTCAATCACTAGCAATCCTTCACTTTGTGAGCTTAAGGATGGTCCTGTCTGTTCTGATGCAGAATATGGGCTACAAAGAATAGAAAATAAATGGATCAACACAGTCTCTGCAGAGAAAGACTGTTCTGTCATCAATAGAAACTGAAGTTTGACATAAAGTACTACCTAATCTCATTCTCCTCCCAGTAAATACTGGATTTTTTTTTTTTAAGACATCTTTATTAAAAAAATATAATCGCTAAATGTCTAACTTCATAATAGTTAAGTGTTATTTTCAACAACCTCACCCTCCTACTGCCCTAAAACCAACCCAACAAAAATACTCACCAGTATTCTTCATTCATTTTTTTAAATGTAATTGAGGGTTTTGAAGAAATTATCTGTGAGCTAGTATTTCAGAAATTAACTATACAGCCTTTCCCTTAGATTATAACTACCAGCAATTTTGCAATGACATACCAATGTTTTTTTTCAGTGTGGTTCTACTTACAGTTATGCCGGCAGACTTCACAATATACCAGTCACACAGGGAGCAAAGGTGACCTGTTCCTTTGCCACTGATGCTAAGATGGGAGGAATGAGTCCCTCTCCGCCATCCATCCCAACATCATCTCAATTGCTCACCTCTCAACTGCCTGACTGGTGCACAATGGATATTTCAAAAAGTGTTTTTGCTCACTAATGCAACGTACTAATATTCATGATTCCATCACGTTACTTTTCTACTGCCTCATGGAAGTGCCAACAAGTAGCAGTGTTGGAAAAGAGCACAAGGTAATCAGCAACAGAAATAGGGGAGGAAAGATGTCCTTATTTCAGTGGCAGAAAGCTGCTAATTTCTGTCTCAAATCTTGTGAAATGGTATCTCAAATCTATTTTCATAGTTACTCTTCAACATGCTGAATAGAAATAGAAGTGCTATAATTAAGAGTATCTGCCTGCCATTTGGCTTGTTGTAACTTTATAGGAATATTTGTGGAAAAAAGTAGACTAAATAAAGTAGACTAAGCATTTAGCCTATTTGTTATGCTTTAGCTAGAATATTAAAAGGTTAACAAGACTATTCAAATTTATTTTACAAACCTGGTTCTGCAAAGTTTCTAAGAGGATCATCACCCATAACCCATCCGTTATGGGCCATGAAATAACAAGCTTTATCTGGCTGATGCATCATACTTTGTTCTTCCTCCACAGTCAGGTCTTTGAATGGATAAGTAAAATACCTATGGAATTGACAGGCAATTTAAAAAAAATGCGTTAACTGAAATCCACTGTCTTAAAAAATTAAAATATCTGCTATGAACTGACGTGAAGACAAAAAATACAACTAGCTGTTGTTAGAAAAGTCACTATTATTTATTGGGGGTTTTTTTTTGTTTTTGTTTTGAAGGACAAAGGATGGAGGCAGTCACTATCTTGGTGTGAAGTGATAGGGTAAGATTAAAGTCACAGCCCTTCAGATACATTAGTGGCACTAAGTGCATCAGACTTCAACCTTTCTAGTTCCACTCCTTTTCCACCTAGAAGAGCAATTGGCACTACATAAGGTTCTAGTGCGCTCTGAGCACATTTAACACCCTCCAACGTCACATTTGTTTTTAAATCTTTTTTCTTTAAAATGTAGCCAGTTTATTGATGAAGTAACACTTGTCTATAGGAGAGAAAAGACATAATTGTATTTACAAATGTTTACTGTTAGTGAACTTTACATTCACATTCCCTGAATAGATTCTAATAGCTTTTTAGCAACAAAAAAAAATAATACCTGGTAACTAAAGGATATTTTCTACTAATAGGGCCTAGTTTAGGTCCATGACCAGCCAGACGTTCATATACCACCGTTCCTGCAAGACAGTTGACAGCCTAGAAATAATTAGATTATGCATTATTAGAATGCCTAAATTTATTTGCAATGCAAAACAACTCAGCATTTAAAACACAGAAGCTGTAAAACCTGCTCTTGATGATGATGAATCTGCCTGTATTGCTCAGCATTCAGTTCCTCAATTCTCTTGCGAAACCAGTTACAACATTCTTCTATTGCACCTGGTCCGTTGCTTAGCAGAAAGAAAGAGCAGAGAGCAATTAGAATAATTTAGTTTTAAAACAAGTAACTGAAATGAAGCAAGATGTTTATCTCTGATTTTTTTTTTTTTAATTTAACTTTACAAGTAAATTTTAACTTGTGGTTAACAATAGAATACCTGTGTGGTATGAACGTTGCCAGTGCTATGTTCATATCTACAGTACAACCAAATCTTCTGTAATCAGGGTCTTGAACTATTTGAAGATGTTGATTCGGATCAGACTTAGTGCCTATTTTGCCTGAGGACAAAAAGAAAACAGTATCAATAAAATAGAAATTACATATAGAACACAGAGAACTTACACTGTTCAAGCACAAGCAGTATATGGGTAGACAAAAAACTTTGAAGGAATAAGGAGAAGAATATTTAAGGTATGACAGAGTTGGCTACTCAAAAATATTTGTGCTCAGTTACAATATTGGATTCTGATGAAAACAGTAATTTATATATTTTTTAATTCTCTTTTCTACTGAAACTGCTTCCCAGACTACTAAGCATAGTCTTCAAAGACTTTACCAGGACTCAAAAAATTCTCATATGTTTAGATCAGCATGGTAGATTTTTCACATAACAATAAGCAGGATTATTTGGTTTTCCAGCTTGGGCCTTTTAGAGTTTACCCATAAATTTTCTTGAAATTTAAATAAAGAATCTGCCTGCTCCAGCAACACACTCTTCCTTTACCTTTAGTTAGAAGGGTTCTAAATTGCTGCACAGCTTTATTAACATCCACTTGGAAAAATTCCCACAGTTTAATTTTTGGATATATATCTTCCCAAATGATTTTACGGATACACTGTAAAAATAAAAACTATGTCAGTTGAGGCTAATGATTAATATAACCAAAGAAAAGCTAAATGCTCGTATGAATCAGTCAGAGGGAAAAAAATACAGGAATAAAGATTTGTTTTGTTAAACATACCTGCAAAGTACATTTGCTGTGTGTTTCCACAACAGGATTGTGGATTGCTAATTCAGATTGGTAAATGATTCAGATATTTACAATGTTTAATAGCTTACATTTAATTCTCATTTACTTACATTCAGGTGATGATCATTTTCTATCAAGGGAGGGACTCCTTTATCAATACACCTTCCATCAGCCACCATACAGCTCAGGTGCCACAGAGCTCTGTCTAAGACCCAGGCTGGCTTCAGGTGAGGAGAATTTACAAGGTTGTAGCCACATTCTGGATGCATCCTGAGCCACTCACTGTTAGCAGCTTATTCGACAAAGGGAGGAAGGAAAAAGTACACATGCTGAATACTTAGTTATTTTATGCAGAAATCTTAACAGAAAGCTAAGCTACTGCAGTATGTTTAAATAGCTCACATTTCAGTTCAAGTTTTCCATGCTAATAGACAATAGCATCTTAAGAAGATCTGTGCATCACTGATAGCTATTTGTACCATAACACAGTTGCAGAGATTGCACAGAATCTTTTTGTTATATCAAAATATGTAACAATATCAGCAATTCTAAATCAGTAAGGAAAGAAAAGCCACATTTGTTTTGCTGGAAATAAATCAAATAAAGGATCTGAAACTCCTGTTCTGTATTGAAAGTAAAATTTACACCCCAAACCAAGATTTATAATGGCTTAAGGTGTTACATATGTTTTTATTCTTACCCTTATCTGATGCTACACATGCACAAGCACACAGAGCAAGACATAGGAACATACACATCCCTCCAGAAATAATTAAAGTGTATAAAGATAGACTTGTAAGAATGGATTAGCTTGTGTTACTAATCAAAAGCAGCTTGTGTAAATAAATGAAAGTATAGTGGTGGAAAGGGATGCCAGAGCATCTCACACTGTCTGTACAAGGCAAACTGAACTCTAGTTCAGATCAAACATGAATGTGTCTATTTTCTGATTGTATCCAGTGGCATCCACAAGTACCATTAGGTATGAACTCAAAGTTAAGAAATCTTAACTTGAAACTGAGTGTGAAATTCTGATGTAATTGTATGCATACAATAGGGAGTTAAAGCATACAGAGCAACAGGAACTTTAATTCTTGAAATATGACAAAGAAGAAAAAGGTTTCAATGATTCATTTCTATTTTTAAAACTGTTCTGATCATATAGCTTAACTGAAAAAAATTTCAATGCACTTTTTGAATGAATCTCTGCAACTTAAAAACAACATATGCAAAAAAATAGGTGGTGTGTAACAAAAAGTTGCTGCTCATGTTTTCCGAGACTTTTTAAATCATTCATCATAGAAGACATCTTAATAACACAATAGGTTAGAAAAGCAGATAAAGTATCAAATAGAAGAAATTAAGTAAATATTACATTGAAAACAGAAATAGTAATTAACATGCTCCAAATCGTAGCAGAAAAATTAACAACTAAAAAACCAGTTTGCTTACTTCCAAGTCCAAACAAAAAAAAAATATTCAAAAGTAAAGAAATGAATGTACTTTCGAACTCCGTAGTTTAGAAGAGCTATTCATACACTCTCCTGCATTACATTTCAAGACCATTAAGAAGATGGCAAAACTCCATGTTTATAAGGTCAAACTACTTCTGGAAGCTAAGATCTTCTTGGTTTAAAATGTCACGTACAACTAACAGCACTGTACTTAATTTAAAGCTACATAAAGCAGTGATAAATTCATGCTGATAAAAAATATTCTGGGCCAATCAGATCACTTTTTTTTTTTTTTTTTTAAATAAAGTATACGTACAATTTGAAAAGCAAACAAACAAACAAAGTGACCTCACCCTCAAAAGCCCAAACTATCCTAGTCTGCTCTTTCAGCAAGAACCACAGTTTATTACAAAGGACTTTCATGAGTAAATACAAGGAGTTCTAAAAAGGCAGTACAGTCTAAATCTACTATGATCCTACTGGGGGGAAAAAAAAGTCAACAGGCCTTCTACTAATTCTGATGCATAGAGCTACATTTTGTGATAAGAAGAAATGCCATCTGGTTATGCCAAAAAAGGTTTTGATGGAGTATCAGGTAGCATTTCTTTACAGAAAAGTAGTTAGGAATTGGAAGAGTCTGCACAGGGAAGTGATAGAGTTGCCATCCCTGGAGGCATTTAAGAGATGTGTGGATGTGTCTATTAGGGAAATGGCTTAGCAGAGGACTTGGTGGTGATAGTTGGACTTGATATTCTTATGGATCTTTTCCAGCATAAATGATTGTATGATTTATAGCATCAAAAAAAAAAGTCTGCTTCTGGAGAAAAAAATTGCACAAAGCAAAGCTTGTGATTACATTTGTTACAGATAGCAACAATACTCACAAACAAGTACAAAAAAAAATTCAATTGGAAGATGGAGAATTAGAGAAAACAAGTTCTAAAAGTCAATACATCTTTATGTAAAGAGGATTACCCTATTTCATGCTGCTCAAAAGACACATTTATTGTTATATAAACTAAACAGAAACAAGGTCTGGTAGTGATGCTCACAGCCTAGGACTTGTTTTTCCCTTTATGAAGCCAAACAAAGGTGGTGTTTGATGTCACTGGCCAAGGGCTTGGAAGTAAGATTTACAGAAGTGTTAAATTATTGCATTTAGACAACAGTAGCCTCTTTTGAAAGAAAGAAATGTTTTACTTCAGCTCAGAAAAGAATTATCCTTTTTCTATCTCTTGGAAAAAAGTAAATGCAGGTGAATACAATATTCTTATTTCAGGTTGCTTGTTCGAATACACTGAAAGGAAAACGATCAACAGGGCTCATCTAGTCAGTTACCAGGCAAAGGTTATGAGTTTATCTATGACATTCCAACTAACGTGCCAAAAGTGCATTCATCTACATCACACATATGGTCAGGCCATGGTTGCTGCTTTCAATAGAAAATAACAGAGACATTAACATAAAAAACTGGTTCCCACCACTCTCTATTATACAAACATTCTATACCTCTTCCCAGTGGAAGAAAAAACACAGACATTTAAGCTTAACCACTTCATAATGAAACTCAGTTGGCTGACTGTACAGTAGGAACAGTGGGGAAGCACTGACATTTTATACAGCAGTCTTAGCTAGAAAGAAGAAACTACCACAGGTACTGACTGCTGTAAGGTGACAGCTCATGAGCTGTGTTACAGCTTGAGAGGATTTGTCATGAGACAACTCTGTGCTTTAGGCCTTTAATGCAGCCATACTGTGGAATTAATAACTGATGTGTAGTATTCACAATCCACTCAAAATAACTGACTATACATTTTATGTCCCTCACGTCCAAATAAATGTGAAACATTTTATAGTTAAATTATAAAAAAAAGCAAAGTCAAATTTCCTTCTGATCAAGTTGTAGATAAAGAGCATCCTAAGTACTTATTTTTGCATTTCAGAAGCACCTAAAATATCTACCTCCACCTGCATGTGCAAAACTACAGCTTTAGCAGTCAGCGATCATTTACACACGTTTCTGCTCATGCTAAATCTGGCACTTGACTAAGCTGGTAGTCAGCTGCAAATCAAGAGGTTCTGATAGTTAACAACCAAAAGGGGAAAAAAAAATATTCAATTCTCATTGTGAGTTCAGAAGCTTGAAGCTAAATATAGTTTGATTAATAACTTAAGACAGAATCTTGGTCATTTCAAGACATCCATGCACCACAGTATAATTTTAAAAATAGTTTACTCATCCATCCCATCAGTGAAAAATAATACGGACTCTGCTTGAAAACTAACAAAAGTCCTTCTGCTAATGTAACCAAGTAACAATGTGACTGCTTTCAAGTATATACTGAAGTTCAATAATTAGCTTTGACTTAAATATTTCTGTCCACAAAAACATTTATTTTCCTTGGTAGCACACAAATGCACAGGATCTCAAGCACGTGTGAGACAAACTAAATTCTTTGTTAGTTGTTAAAGTGAAAGAAACTTTTTTTTTCCTGATGAGAATGTCAAAAACCAGATTCCCTTCAGACATAGGGTTAATCACACTCAGAGTAGCATTTCAACAAACAGACAGGGCAAACAACAGGGCCCGTTTTACATTGCTGACTGATTGGCTAAGAATGTTTAGCAACAGTCAATACCTAAGAACTAAAGCAAATAAAAGCTTGTAATTCACAGAAATCTATGATTCAGGGTTTTGTTTTTTTAAAAATCAGAGGACAGCGACATGAATGTTAACAGAAACTTGTTGCTCTCTCATGTCACAAGAATACTAATCAGCGCAGTCCTCAAGAGTGTAAGATGAAAAGTGCATTTTAAACATAATAAAAATTCTTGTAATCCAAATAACTAAACTTACAGATAACGAAATACTATGACTGACTTCTCAAGTTTGAGAACAATCTCGCTGTCCCTCTCTGCAGGGCAGACAATGTTAGCTACGAACAGCATTTAGATGCAAGACTTCAGTACACCAGCACATTTATGCTTAAAAAACAAAACAACAAAACTACTTCACCACCAACACACAGCCGTAACATTTCCTCCACTGCTTAATCCTAGTCCCTTGTCTCTATTCTGATTGTTTTCCGTGCATTTGAAACAATTAGAGCAGTAAAAAAAAATAAAAAATAAAAAAATAGCAGCAGTAATAATTCTGTTATCAAGAAAGTAGTCAGTTTAAGCTTGTTACATTCATTTTATAGGCTAAAAGCTGCACAGCACAGATCATAAGCGTGGTATGAAAAATACAGACACGCACAGTTCTTTAATTCCATCTAAGAAAGGCTCTATTCAACTCAAGTAGCAATACAAAATACTCTTGCATCTGTTATGGAGACTATGTAATATCAGTGATTTTTTGAGGGGGAAAAGTTAAAAGAAATAATGAAATAAAATTACAGGACAAACTTGGTTATTCACACAGAAATCATACCAGTATGATTGTAGACTACATCTGTGATGCAAAGCATATTCCATTCATTTTTCATTTTTTCCACAAGAGCTCCTATATCATTCCACGTGCATTTTTTGTTATGGCTTGAAAATTCAGGATTAACTTCTAACTGATCAGCCAGTGAATAGCATGATCTAGACAGTCCAAGCTTCTGCAATGGTGTAAAATGGATCATGTTGTAACCTATGAAATAAGAAACCATTGATATCACAAGAAAAATCAAATTTCAATATAAGAAGTTAACAGACAGATGCATAATAAGTTACAGTTATAGCATATACATAAGCCTAGCATTTGAAATAGCCAGTATAAATTAAATCTGAATCTTTACTTTAAAATTCTAAATAGTAGTTAAAAAAAATTATCCTCTAATTTCTACAAACTTCATATCTATCTGAAATCAATAGAATACAATAAAAGTATTAGGAAATCCTGATTTTTTGCACTGCTGCAAATACTTAAATTTGATTACTTAAATCTACTGACTTAATCTGTTAATTAAAATTAAATTTGGGGGAAGATATTTGATCTACAAACTAAAGGACTAATTAACTGTGAACTCAGTTTAACTTTGTTTTCTTGTCACAAGATTAATTAAAAAAAAAGTGTATCTTTTGATATCTATATTGGCATTACCTGTTTCTTTTGCAACTTTAAGCCTATTTTCCCATTCATGGAATGGTCCCAGACACTTAGCGAGGAATGTCTGGAGTGTAACACAGTCCAAAGGCAACACATGGTTATCGGCTCCAACACGCAGAATAGGATCCACAACTATGTAACCTCCACCACTTTTCTCATTTCTAGGAGAAATAATTTTCATTGGTATGATAAACACACATTGCACCAGTCAGTTTCAGAAACAAAATCCAACAAGCACAACTATTTCAAATGCACAGTAACAGAGTGGCTCGGGAGAAAGGATTGCAAGTGGAGTAAGCAGAAACACTGGAGAGAGGTTGATCTCCCAGGCAGCATCTCTCTATGGGGCTTACAACAGCTGCTAATAAGAACACCATTAGCACACAGTTTTAAACTCTATGCAAGTAAGATAACTTTGTTACCTGGGGAGACAGAATACTGCTTCTTCTTTTAGAATATGGATGGAAACAAAGAAAACAGGACTGCCTATCTTTTATATAAAGACCTCCATTTGGAGCATTATCCTGGGAAAGAGATCTGAGCTAAATGTCCTTTTAAGCCAGAGGGAATCTAACCACCAGCTATCTTACAGGAGCTCAGAGTACTAGGCCATTACAGTTACCCTCCTCTGTTGAAACAAAGAAGAAAGTAAATAACGTGAAGTAAAGAATGACAGAGCCTTTATGCTAGAAAGATAGAGAACAACTTCCTATTAAGTGAAAAAAGTACAAATTAATCACTTATGTTTAAAATCTGATGACTGAAATCTGGTAAAACTGTTCTGCTTTTCCAATATTCACAGCTGCAAATTCTCCAGAACATATTTGTATCAGAAAGTTTTCAACAACCTCAACAGCCATTGCTATTGAGCAGATTCAGATTGATTTCGTTGTTGTTTATTAAAAATGCATAGAAAAAACTATGATTTTATTCTTAATAGCAATTTCTTCAGGTTCAAACAAACCAAAAGAGCAGATTGCATTATGGCTGTAAGCATAGTTCACTTACCCAAGACTAAAATAGTACTGATAGGACCCAGAAATTTGGAGATCTAACTTGCAATATTTGTCAGAGTCATCCTCCTTTCCTGTGGGATTGTGCCATGATAACGTTCTGAACTTGTGGCGATCAAATACTTCTCCAGAAGCTGGATAGTTTGTACACACAGTAACATGCTTGCCTTGAAGAGTTGGGCCCAATCGAAACTGGAGTTCAAACCCTCAAGAAAAAAAGAAAAATCTCATCAGGAGGACTGGACATTCCTACTCTCTAATAACAAACTCTACTTCGGTTTTATGTTAAGAAGACAATGCACTAGCCTATCTGCCAAGACCTTTTGCAGAATGGTATATTTCTACAGCATCTTTTCCTCCTGCTTTCCAAGTTTTTTTCTTTGCACTCTCCATTGAAGTCTTTCCTATTCAATTTGTTCTGCTTTGCTTTATAAAAAGTGTTGGAAATAAAATGCAACAGAAGTCACAGTCATCAGACTACATACAATTTTAGGCAGGCTGTAGCACTGTGGAAAAAGAAAAAACAACAACAAACTAAAACGTAAAATTCAGGTTTACCAAGTCTATATATTAAGTTGATTCATGAAACTATTTGGAAAAAAGGAACAAATCTGAAACCATAATAATTCAATTTCCTTCATTCTCTACTGAGAGAATTCACTGAAGTCTACATTCCTTACGGTTTAACTGCAAGGTGATGGATATCTGCTTGTAATCTACAGGGTACATACCATTAAACAGAGCTCAGCAAGTTTAAGTGAGCTTTGTATACATGCTGCAACTCACGCACACTTCAGGGAGAGCTGTATTTAGAATAAAGATACCCATGATAAAGGCACTACAATTAAGTTCAAAATATTATAATGTTAAAACTTGCTGTAGTCTGTTCAGCTGGCTATGAAGAATATAGTTTAGCTAGCAGGTTTCAGAGTTGGTCTTATTTGAAGGTATGAGAACCTGTTACCATGTACCTAGCTAGTCACAGGGTCCTTTCAAGTGACTGACAGAGGTACAAGTGCTTGCACTCCACTGCTGACTTTTACTGAATTACACACCAGTCATGAAGGTGGCTGTAATAACAGTGGTAGCTACTAGCCCTAATGGTCTACAAAATTGTAATTTTAAGTAAAAGAAATTTGTGTATTTGTAAAAAGAGAAATCTTTTAAATAATGAATTTAAAAGATTTAACAGTCCTAGAACATGCTATCTTAAATTGGAGCAAAGTAAAACAGACAAACCAACCCAAATAAGCGCTCATCGTATAAAATCCTAGCAGATCTAATATGAGAATTCAATCTCTGAGTAGATGTAAATCAAAGTCTCACCAAGCTTACACCTTCTCTTATTAACAACTACTACACCAAGAACTTCAGGTAAAACCAGTGGTTTTAGGATCAGAATGTCTGATGTCATGTAAAATGAAGCTCATTTTATTGCCAACAAAAACAAATCTTCCATGAAAAAAAATCACTTCTGAAGGCTTAGTGCACTCCCTCTGGTACAGTCCTGACATTTTATTGCAGGGATGACTAAAATTAGAGCACAGGGATATATGGCATCAATATCTAATTTCCTGTAACAGTTATACTGATATGAAGAACGCCGTGCTCAAAATTAGCCATGCCCTCTCAGAGACTGTCACCAGCAGAGGTGTTCTGAATGTTTGATAGGAGTGCATTGCCGAGTCCCTCTGACAGAACTTACACAACTGGGAGGAAGATAATAAGGGTTGGGGCCAGAACTACACTTCTTCCCTAATGACATTTTTAGATTATGTTGTCAGAAAGTTTTAAAACTGATATACTTGAAGGGAGTTCTTATTCCCAAGAGTCAAATCTCCATCCTCTTTACTGAAGTACGTAAACATGAGACTCCAACATAAAGTGAAAATAAGCAAAAGAGTTTCATGAGCAATAACAGTTGCATCATGAGAAAAAAGTTGCTAAATAGACTGGCTTTGACTTTAGAACCTGAATTCGCTGACCAGCGTAATAATACACCAGTTCTAGGAGGGATTGTCTCAGGGAATATGCTTAAGAACACTTTCAAAGAGAAATATCAAGTTCATATTAGCATGCAGCCAGAACACCAATGCAGCACAGGCTCGGGAAATCTGACAGGCAAGATAAGATTTAGGGTCCTGTATTCTCAAGCGTTGCCTAGAGCATTACAAAAGGTAATCTTTACTCTGTTTCAATATTATTGTATTAAAGACGAAGTGTTGCATAACACAGCACAGATTAACACTACAGTTTGATTTACGAGGACGTTTCAGGGTCAGTACAGTCTGTTCGTGCAGGGAGAGCCCCGGTCCCACAGGGGCCGCATAAAAAAACATTAGAAGAGGGAGAAGCGCAAACAGAGCCCTACCACAAACCAGCCCCGGCCTCCCTCCCTTTCTCGCTGCCCGAGGGCGGCGGACAGCCCCCGCCGACCTCCCACAACCCGGCCCACCTTGCTCCAGCCTGAAGAGGGTCTTGTCCAGCTTCTCCATCTCGTTGAGGTGCAGCACCCGCGTCTCCTTATGGCTCGGCATGGCTGCCGGCGGCCGCTCGCGGCAGGCTCAGCGCGGGCGAAAAGCGGCGAGCCCTGCCGGGAGAACACACACAGACACACACAGCCCCGGTCAGCGGGCACACGGCAGGCAAGCGGCCGGCCGCTGGGGAACGCCTCCCGCCTCCGGGCCAGCTTACATCTTCCCTAGCCCCGGGGCGAGAGGAGACAGGGCGCGGGCAGGGAGGAGGAAGGGAGCACCCCGCCCTCCCCCGAACGGCGGCACCCGAGAGCGGTTCCGACCCCGCAGCTGCCGCGGCCGCCCCCGGGAGGGGGAGCCTGGCACCTGTCACTCCTGCCCGCCGGGCCCCTCACGCAGCCCTGCCCGCGCGCCCCGGCGCTTTCCATACTCACGAGCGGCCCGCAGAGGCGCGCGCGCGGCTCCCGGTGAAGGCGGCGGCGGACGGGGTCGGGACAGCACAACCGCTCGCGGTCCGCAGCTCCGGGCCGGGCGGCCGCTCGCGCAGCCCGTAAAAGCGGCGACAAACGCCCTCAGAGCGCCTTTCCCCCGCCCCTTTTCTTGCTTTTCTGAAATAAACTTTACCGGTTCCGCCCGGCCCCGCTCCGAGGCAGGCGGTGCCGGCACGGCTCGCGCGAGAGCGATGTTCCCGCCCCGAGGCTGCGGCCGGGCCCGCCCCGCGCTGCGGATGGAGCGGGAGCTGCTCGAGGCTCAAGGAGCGCGAGGTGGCGGCGCTCTATTTTGCAGCCGGGACTCCTGGCGGTGCCTCTTCCGTACGGTGCGAGCGAACGAGCACGAGAGGCTGCCCGGCAGGGAGCTCGGGCTCTGGAAACAAAAGTCTGCGCGGTGTGAAGGGCATTAATGACAGCCTGGACACCCGGCGCAGCTGCCTCGTTTGCTCCCCGAGCGCCGCCGCCTTACAGCCCGCCCCGCCGTAGGGGAGCCCGGCGCCGAACGGCGTGCAAAGCGCTGTGCGCAGCGTGTGCCGAGGGCTGCCAGCTCTAGACAGCTTTCGCTAATCGAACGCGAGATGTTTTCGAAGAACGCTGTTGCCCGAACGGCTGTCAGCAGGCGGCCCCGCGGCGTAGCGGCTGCCTCGGCCCTGACGCCGTGAGCTGCTCCCGCTGAAAGGTCAGCCTCGCATTTTTGAAAGGTCAGTCTATTTTTATGGTCTAGAACTGCATTTAAAAAAAAATTGCTTCTCGATTTACAGCCCCTTCGCTATACTGTTTATTTCCAAAGATAGTGTACTTAGGAAACTAGAAGTCTGCAAGACCATTTAGATTTAACCATTTGCTTCCAGTCACCCAGTGCACCTCATACCTGTGTCTTGCTACAGGGCATTCCTTCTGCTTCACTGCCCCTAACTCAGTTTGCTGAGCAGGCACATTCTACGTGAAGGATGACTTGCTGAAGCAGAAGCACAGTTCTATGCACACCCTGTTCTCTCTGCGTTGGAGTAGTCCTAGCAAAGACACAATGTAGCCTTTGAGTGCTTACAGAGGATTTTTATGAAAGAGTACAACTTTCTCATACCAGCAAATAGCAATAGGACAAGAGAAAATGAGGGGAGGTTTAGATTAGGTGTTAGGAGAGATTTGTTATTCAGAAGGCAGTGAGGCACTGGCCCAAGGCTGCCCCATCTCTGGAGGCAGCTAAGGCCAGCTTGGAGGTTGGATGGGATCTGGGCCCCCAGATGGTCTCTAGGGCCACTTCCAAACCAAGCCACTCTATGATTCTCCTATGAATTTTCAAGAGGTATAGAAGTTTTTTTTTGTTTTTTTTTTTGTTTTTTAAAAAAGCAAACTCAACAGACAAAGTTAAAAGATATGACCATATCTGGTCCTCAGTATCCAGAAACTGCTGTGCTACCACAGAGCCTTGCACCAGTGCCTTTGCCTCCAGGCTTTCTAGAGGCCTATCACACACTGCAGACAGGGAAGGATATAGAGATCTCATGAGATTTCTGCATGAGCAGTGAACAGTTCCAAGAGAGGAGGAGCAAATAATACCTGTGTAATCACATCCTTTGCATATATAACTGCCCTGAAGCACGTGTTTCTGAAAAACAAGAAAAGCTAGAAGGCCATTCCTGAGTACAATTTCACTAGTACTAGTAAGACTGTCTTCTCTACTCAAATTTCCATTGTGAGTAGGAAAACTCATATCAGTAACTAAATCTCCATTGACATCTGGGCAATGTATACTTTGAATTCAGACATGTTTTGAAATGCATCCAGGTATATGTTAAAGAATTTGAGTCTACCAAGAAAGAAATTAGGAAACAAAACTAGCATACAGCCTCTGATTCCAAATCCTGAAGCTGTTACATTGGCCAACATTTATGGCAGTAGCTAGAACAGACATCAAGAATCTAAATGAAGGACTTGATGCACTACAGAACAAAAGTTCAAGTAACATTAAATAACATAGTAATTAAAGCAGTGTAATTTCACTGGCCATCAGTAAGAAAAAAAGACTATTAGAAGGTTACTGAATGAATATCCCAGCTTTTCTAATCCTCTATGTCCATCACTTGATATGCTGGCAAACCTTTAAAGACTTCAGGCCTGTTTAAATTCAGCAGTGATAAATTAAGCATGCTTTCTCATTATGGGAATCACACCAGCAAAATCTAGCATTGTTAACATCGCACAGAATACAGCCAACAGCAGTTATACATACCATTTATTGCACAGACATCTAAATGGTGAATTTCACAGTGCCATTTCATCTTCATGAAACACGTGATACGCTACAGTAGGAAAAAGTCAATAACAGCTTCAGAGTAAGAATGGACACCATATCAATGTCATTTCAAGGAATTTTTTTTTTCCCCAAGCATATTCAGAACCTTTCAGGTTCCCCCCTTTCCTTCCATACACACCCTCCTAGTTCTATCTTCCTTTCTACATTCTGTTCCACAGCACAATATTACAGAATACTTCTCCTAGGAGAGGCCTCTATACACTTTCGGGTCACACTTGAGTCCTATTAGTCATGGCTGCCTTAAAGATTAAATTGAAGGTGCAGCAAAGTAGAATACTTGCAGGACAGTATTTTTTTTAAGAAAGAAACAACTTGCAGAATAGTAGCTCCCTATAACAGGGAAAGTAAATTAGCACAGAGAACTTAACTGAACTTCAAGCTGCCTATGTACAGGAAATTATTTGATTTCATAAAATCTAAAGTGGTTTTAGCATTGCTTTTCTCAATGCCTCACTGTCTGATCTGTAAATTGATGAATATTGCACAAAGACACAAACAACAAGAATCTCTAGGTTATTTTTAATATCTCTTCTAGATAGAACAGATTGCAATAGTTTGATATGAAAAAAGAATAGTAGGCACAACTAAAATAGCATTCATAAGTGAGAAATCATATGAGATGGAGAGGCTAGGGCAATAATTTGTTCTTACCAAAGAAAAACCTTTTGCCCCACCCAGTCATCTGGAAGCAATGGTTCAAACCACCAGAGCTGAATTTGGAGCCATCACAAAGTTTTGTACTCCAGAAAACACTTATTTTTATGGTTTTGTTTTTATTCCCACCTCTGCCATTCTCTTACTCTTAGGTTTCAAACAAGTCATACTTCCTGCCAAAACATCTGTATAAAGCTACACTGCCAATAATTATTTGAATATAAATTTGTGAAATATAATGTATTATCTTTAAATAAGTCCAAAAAAGATTTTACTGTTGTTAATGTAGCTATTCATGTACTTGATTAAGATATATTTGACCACAATCTAGCTAACAATGTCACACTGATTTGGTATTATGTTCTACTGAGAATGTCATGACTTGGCACACACGATTTTAAACTAAGGATTCGAATGGTATTTTTGTATCATTTAACTTAGCTAGATGTAAAATAAAGCCACATGTGCCAGACCAGATTTTTTTATTTAAGAAGTAGAATTTATTACACCAACTTGCAGCATTTTTGTTTTACTGTAGATTGTTCCAGTTAACTCTAGTAAGATATACTGAGACCTAAGACTTCAGATGATCTATTCCTAATGTAATTCTAATAATGTTTTGTTGAGTGAAACTGTTTTTTTAATATTTCCTCCTCAGAAGTAAATATTTGAAGTGTTTCTCAGGCACTCCATTTTTCTTCACAGTGCTCCTTCTTATTGTATCAAACTGTCACAAGAGTACCATGGATGTTTTCATGGTCTATTGAAATAACTATTCTTAAATCTTATCCAGATTTGAAAAGCCCAACACAGTTGATATATTGCAGTTGAACAACATGGAGCAGTTTTTAGGTATTTTAAAGTCTCTGCAAATATTTGTCTGAAACTGGCTAAAGTAACAGCTAAAGTCCTTGCAAGCATACTCAGCTATTACCACACAATTACCTCACAGGGGTGCTGTGCAGGTACTAACAAGCATGCCACTCCATCTTGCAAAGAGCTTTGCTCATTGAAATCCCCAGGGAAAAAGTAAATGTGCTTTAATTTGGAGCATCCACACACAAAAAAGACATCTCAGTTCCAAACAAAGAATGAATGAATTCTCAAAGGAGACAGAGTAAGAATTACTCAGAGAAAGGTGGAAAAACTGGACATTGGTTTCTTGTGGAAAGCCCTGTAAAATCAGATTGGAAGGAATAGAAAATTAATTCTCAGCCCCAGAGCAAGGAAGTCAAAAGAAAAAAGAAGGGCCAGTGTGCAGAAGAGCATTATACTTGATCTCAATTCATTTTGTAGTTTCACACAACAGATTGTGTCACCAAGCGTTAAGTGCCATAAACTGAGGCACTCGTTACTCAGTGCTTCTACCAGCAAGTTGCTCCCTGAGAATTAGAATAAAAGCATCTCAGCACATCTTGCAGGTATAATGAAATTAATAATAAAAATAAATACCTCACAGAAGCGGTGAAGAATACAGAACCTCAAAGAAGTTAACTGTTCAGTACTTTTTTTGAAGAAGCTTCATATGTGCACTTCAGATAAAGTGATGGGCCACATCCCTTGAAGTGGATAGAGTGATTGTATTGCAGTACTTCATCAACTGACTTAATTATGTTGCATGCTGAGTTAGGCAGGAACTCTAGGAAAAGCAGCAAGTTGTTACTGTATCATAATTCCTGGACAGGCACAGCTCAAATTGCTGTTAGAAACCAAAATCAATTCTATTATTTCAGATAAGCAAACAAGTAGTTTAAATTACTTTTATGCCAATGCAGAAGCTCATCATGATACAAAGATATTCCATACATATGTAACAATACAATAGAAAGCACAGCAATAATAGTAGGATAGTTAAACCCTAGGCTACAGTAAGGGAG